CAGTGTTCAGTGCCAAGGCGCAGTGGCAGACGTTTAAATCATGAAGTCTTCATTTTCATCAACTGACTGAAGGACAATTACAAAACAGCTTGAGGTTGCCAGTCTACCACTTCCTTCTCTGTCAGTCACTATCATAGGATGGGGTTGCAATAAGAACCTTGCTAAACGCTGGGTAGAACACTGCAATACCCACCCTTTGAATTCCATTACCCAATTCGTGCCATGACACTAGCAATACAAATAGACACATAAAGTACCTGCTGCCTCAGGAACTACCAACCAGTGCTTAACCAAGCGTGTAGGTGAATTCAGAAAATACAATAAACCTAGAATGCCAAGATTCCTGGTTAGTACACCTTGGGAAGGAAGCTCACTTCCAGACTTTGGCTAGGATTTTCAGAAAGCTGTTTCAAGTATCACCCAAACTTCTGCATGATTATCTGTTGATGATCTGAGTGCAATCTAGACAAAATTACTATCCTTCCTCCAAAGTCATGTGTCCACTACCTGTCCCATTCTTTACTTGCTTTGTTCCTACTACAGCAGAACATCTGCCACAAGATGCTACCCATGATTTTAATGTGTCACTCCAAAAATCACATGGAAATTTAATCTCCATTACAGACTATTGAGGTTGTGTCTGTAGGAGGTGATTAATTCACAAAGCATGCCCCCTGTAGGTGGGATTATGACCCCTACTAAAGCCTCTTCACAGTGCTGTTTGGCCTTCAGCCACACTGAGCGCTGCAGGCCACTGTGTGAAGCACAGAGACCAAGTTCGCAGCAGACCCTGCATCAGTTAGCACTGTTACACTTGGATTCCACAGCCTCCAGAATGTGAAAATTAATTTATTACCTACAAATTATCCAGCTTCAGGCATTTTGTTATAGCCCAAGCAGTTTAAGGAAGAAAAGCATCTCAATTTACAATGCTTCAGCAGTTAACTTAATTTTTCCTTCAAACCAAAAGGCTCAAGGAAATAAAATCCAGTATAACCTCTCACTAAAATTTGATAAATGTTTGTCATGGGAAAAATGTTTATTTTGAAATTATTTTAGTTTAGAAATACAAAACCTCTTGGGGAGGGAAGAAGGAAAGGAAAACACAAAGTATACAGGCAACTTTTTACTTCATAAGCTTCTCACACCCTCGTTTGCTCCTAGTTCCCGCGAAGAGAAAGCATTCAGCCACCCACACAAAAGAAAGAGAAACGGTCCCTTTTAACCACAGTACGGTAATAATCATCTGAAACGCAGCACGCTGTGATCTCACGAAATCAAACCCAGCTTCAAGAGAACAACCACCCACTCTGTCCCAAGAGTGGCAGAAAAGAACAATATTGATTAAAATCTGACTCTGGAAGGTCCTTAATGATGGCCTGGCTTTGGGCAGACGCCTTTTAACACTCATTATGCTCCTTTGGAAAATGTCACTTTGGAACAGTCTGACATGTCTTTCTAAACTAACAAACGCATTAATTACACAAGAAGTTTTTCAGTGTCACATGATGTACAAGTAACAAGCCAGTTTAAAAAAAAATATATAGACAGATGGGTACCACTGCCCTCAACCACTAGACTAGCAGAGAGATTCTGAATCTGCTTTAAGCACAATGAGAACAAAACTAACATTTCCACAGAAGACCTCCTCAATTTAAAAGCATGACATTAGTATTTATTCTAGTGCTATGATGTTAACTAGAAAAAATAAGCCATTACTAGCTGAATAGTATATACCCAAGTATACACTTTACAGTTACTTTGTTATGAGGTTGCATTGCAATAATGTACTAACACATTTTATTCTAACTCCCTTGAATTATAGTACTGCATACATAATTTGCATGCTGATTGTAAAAGAAAACAAAAACTCAAAAACCAACCCCCAGAAGTCTATCCCAAGGGAAAACTGATTAGAATGCAATCTAGTGAGAAGCTTGGGGCTGTATTCCTCCTGCCATCCTCTCCAAATGGTTTTACATCATTTCAAGCATCTAAACAATTTCTTTCAGTTCTATAGCTATTGTAGTATAATATGGGAAGTGAACTGTTTTCTAGAATGCCCCCCACCCCAAAAAAAACTGGTTTATTTATTTGGCTTTCACTTTGGGAGGAAAATATTAAGTGGTAAATAACTTGTAAAACAATGAAGTATCTTTTTAATTACAAAAAATAAAAGCTTTCCACACAGCTAGACAGGCGGCTATCATCGCAAACGTTTCCTACGCTGCTCTAGCACTTGGGAACCCCTCAAGTTATTCCTTGTCTCTGCCTCGATTTCTTCCTGAGGATTAGATAAGTTGATTCACATCTGATAAAAACTGAACCAGGGTAAAATCTCAGCAACAGTTGTTATCATCCTCATGAGTACTAAAAAAGGATAAAGTCTTTACTTAATTCTATTAATATTTATTCAGTGTTCTTAACACCTACATAAATACCAATCTATATCTTTATGTATGCACATGACTGTATGCACTCTCAGTAAGATTAGGACCATTACAAAAGCCTCTCCTCCCAGCCTCTAATGCTTACTGTTCTTTTTTCCCCATTTACCAAGTGAAAACTCAGCACATGAGAATCAAGGTCAGGCCCTCACCAGAGCCGGAACCCACTATAGCATTATGAACTTGCATTTCAGAAAGAACAAAATTTGTACAATCTGCTAATCACCCAGTCTTGCGGATTTTGTTATAGCAGCCCAAAAGACCATGACAGAGAGCATTCTATATACAATACTCATTAGTTCTTTTCCCTATAAATCAAAATAGTCAGTGTCAGAAAAAAAAAAAAAACCATCATTACTCTGTATTATTATAACTAATTGTCTATAGGAGAAAATA